GATATGTACGAAAAAGTGACAGTCTGTACAAATGTATGTACAAGGCTTTAAAATGGAGTGAAATGATGTCAACTAGAAGAAGTATCGAAGATCAAGTGATAGCCGGAAGATATTATAAATATAATGCTCCACAGCGTTTAATACCCTTGCTAAATATTTTGACGCCATTCGCAAGATCTAAAGTGTTATACGAACTTAAACAAATGCATTTTGTCTACGTGGAATATGAAAGCGGCGACTGGTTGTTCATGGTTGACCGTGGACAACATTATGAAGTCGATATAAGCATTTGTCAATGCAATTGTAGCATGTTTATGATGTGTCGATATCCCTGCCGTCACATGCTACTTGCCTACGTTAAAAGAAGAAATCTTACAGGTAAGCTATATCAATTATGAAATACTAACTGCATAGCTCATCAACTTCTTAGGTATTGTAGCAGATGGAAGTTACACAATACCCAGAACTTCCAAAATTATACATTACCTGCATTACCACGACGGAGTGAAGTGTATGTAAGTATTCAACGAAGCCAAAGAATCCATAAACATCGCATCATTGAGTAGTATGGTGAACGTTTTGCAACGGAAGTTGAGAAGAAAGTGGACAATTATTACTTAAGAATTCTTAATACCAACTTGTAAACTTGATTTTCTGCTTTTGCAGCAATGATTCTTCAATAAACTTTCATAATTTCAATTTTCATCTTATTCCTACTTTTATGGGAATGAATAGCAATGATGTTCATGTGTAACTGTTTGTAATAATTAAGATTGATTAAGAAACCCTACATCCACGTACAGTTTTGCAGATTAGGCACCCACATATCATATTCACCTTCGTGGGATTACGTTTATCATTAAAATTGTATCAGTACCTATGTACATTTTAAGTTCATGTGATTAATTCCGCTTATGAATCAAAGTAAAACCAGGAGAAATGTTGATTAACAGTGGTATGCATTCATTACAACTAAATATGCAATAGGATTTAACAGTGATGTGGGAAACAGTTGACATACCTGAATATGAATAAATGAAATGACGTAGGTTATCAATAGTGACTATATATATATATATATATATATATATATATATATATATATATATATATATATATATATATATATATATGCAGTGTAAGGTCAAAGGTCATTTGCTTTTACAGTCAATAACACATTAAGAATGGGTGATATAATAGTTGACTGCAGTTCACAGACAGATAAGTGGTGTGAAATTCTTATAGCTTGTAAATGATCCGTGGATTTAAGAACTGAAAACTTGAGTTAGGTCATAATTGATTACAATTTGCAGAGGTCACGTAATTACAGAGGATTAAGTGACAGGGTGATGGAAAAAATGCGTAACTAAATTTTAAAAGTGAAATGAATTATTACATAATCCTTCTTATTACTTGTTCATTCCATGGATTATAAGGAGTTCATATTATTCTCTATCTATATTTGTTCTAGCGTCATATCGACTATTAACAAATACTGACATGGTTTATAACGTAAGACACTAAGTGTAGTTGCTATATTTATATTTCACTAATTCATTTGTTGAATAAAAATGATTTTAATATGGTCTTCCATAATCACAAATTCTATAAGTTGTAGACCGGCGTAAACATCATCACAAAGCTTTGACGACTTCATTTGATGCATACAATTCTGAAAAACAAACAAAGCAGTCGTGAAATAAAGAATTAGACCTAGTTATCAATATCACATTTAATAAGTCAATCAAATAGCAGGTTACAGAATGTACTTATAAGTCTCTTATTTGCAGACAGCGTTAATCATTAGAGATTTCTATTTCCTTTAATAAAAATTAATAGGTAATCTTTACAACACACAAATCAGTGTTATTTAAAAATTGCTGAAATCAGGTTCGTCACAACATAGAAGCGTGGTCGGATTTATGAATAAAATGTAATTCAATAATGTGGCATAAAGGCGATATGAATACAAGGAACTTGTGATTCTGCTTCCATTGCTCATTCACTTTTCGTCACGTTGTCTGCATGAATTACTTTGGACGAGTCAGTTTGTAATGCAGTAGGAATTCATGAATTAACTCATTAATAGTTGTTTTTTGATTTAAGTTTGTGTCTTAACAAGCAATGGAAATTTCTTCAGTGTCTAACCCTTGTAGTATTTCGTCTATATATCTGGTATTAGCAAGAGAAATTGGTAAGCACCATTTAGATATTACTCGACAATATGCATCATAACTTTGTTCACATTTTCTTCTGCGATTGTGCATTTCCTTTACAGAGAATTATTCGTCAAACCTCTAACAGACACATCATAAGTCAGTATTAAGTAAAACATGGTTTCGTCACCATGCTCCGAAGAGACACCCATCGATTTACTTATGAAGATTTCGTGCATATTTGATGTGGTGTTACACACTATTTCTGTATAAGTTCAGAAAACCGGTAAAAAAGACTATCAACGTCTATTGTTACTCACATAATTTTTCTCTGATACCTTACACAGTAATATGTCACTTCAGTACAAAACAATGCTACCTATAGTCCAAATAACCTTTTATGGCTAAATACAAACAATTTATATAATATTCATAGTTACTTTAACGATTACTTCTTTCTAATTACATTTTATAAACGACTACCAACATCTGTGTTTGCCGTCACCATAATCAAGGAGGTGAACCATATATAATTCTTTTTACGGCTTATTTTCATGAAAACTCAATCTGTAATCTATTTTTGACTAGAAAAATGGTGATTTGACTTCTTTGACTTAGTATTGTTAAAAAAATAACCATATTACGCCAGCTACATATTTACTTAGGTGGTGAGCACGAAATACGTCAAAATGCTTATAAATTGAAACAAAAACTATCTTCCAATCACAAAGATTACGAAAAGTCATGTATGACGGAAAAAAGGCTTTTAATAGCTGATAAATAACGACGCATAAAATCCACGACAATACGTTACACGTGCGCGAAAACCCGTAAACTAACAAGCATAGTGTGCCTTTGCTGGCGATCTCGTGGTATCAAAAGGATACCGAAATCGTGTCAGGATAAAATGGATGCTTTTTAGCACAGTTAAACAAAAGCACATTCAAACAGTCACTGGTACAATTGGTTAAATAATAATTGTTTTTATTAAACCAATCGTGTTCTCGTGATAAATGTGAGGCACTACAGGAGTATCTTGAACCTTATCGAGAATGAAATATAGTGATCAATTATACTCAACTGCCAAACCAGAACTAGTGAACGAGCGATGATACAGGAATCTGTTTACTTAACAACTACAGCAAGTTTATTCAACGAGACAACATTACTGGCAAGAACTAAAAACAATCTGGAAAGGAAAATGATGAAGGGAGAACACAGCATGATCATGTCTGTGAGACCAAGTTAATCAATCTCCCAATTCTTCCAGTATTTGGCTCCCTTGACCCTCCAATTTCTATTCAACTTTCAATGTTCACTGAGTTATCCTTTAATACATCCAAATTAAAGGATTATTTGGCCGTGGTTCAATGTTATTTCATGTCGATCTATGTAGCTCGTACGTTTTCCCTGATGGGGCACGTATATTTCACTTGGTCAATAAACTGGTGTTGTGCGATCTACCTTGAGGAAATCTATGGTATTTTGAATTATTTGAATTATAGTACGAACTAAGAATCCCAGAAATAACGTAATCAGACCAAGAAGTATTAGATAGGCACAAACGAACGTACTGTATTTAGAATTCAAAATCAAGTATCCAACAAGTGCAAAAGAATCATCAGTTCACTCAAACACCGCAAGATCATCTTTGAAAATCGAATAAAACTCGAATTTTATGAAGACAATCTAAAAGGAATTCAATAATAGCTTCTTGGTCTTTATGACCTAAAGGATTAAGAAAAATGATCTCAAATCATAACTTTTCATACGGGTAAAACTACCACAGCCATCTGCACCATGCTAATGGGAATGATCGGATGAAAGTTAGGGGTAATAACAAAAACAATAGGATTTTTTAAGTTTACAAAAATGCTCTAGTTTCGACCAAATCAGTATGTATGTTATATCAAGTCACCCATAGGTGGGATGGGCTAATGTGGCAATTGTATAATTGTTTTCTTGATGTGCAGAGAAATTTATGTATGTGAAGCCATAGGCTCAGTTATGCATTTATGATTCTACTGAAGAAACAACCCCATCACGTAATGTTACTATAAGAAGGGCCAACAGTTAAGTCAGTTGTACAGTTTAACGCCAGGTTCATACGGATACATAGTTCAGAAAGATATATGTGCACAATAAAGGAGATTAGGAGTTCATCTACGCTTACTGTTATTCTTACACTTCTGTCAACACCATATGTAATATGAATTAACCTACTTGTTCTTTTAGACAGTCGTATTCTCTTAGCTGTTACACATTTGAGTTTTTTCCCTTGATTATTGTTTTACAATGAGACCAACCTACTTCCTGCCTGGTTAGGTGATAACTGATGATTCCAGAAACGTTGTTGCTCCGAGATAAACACACCAACTCAGTTTGCAAGGTATAGAACCTTACTGTTAGATATAAAAAGTAACCGGAACTATTGAATTAGAATCTTTAGGCTGACACCCTTTAGAAATTACCAAAGACCTGAAACTGTAGTGAAACACATATAATAATATTTCGACAATGAGACTAAAAGCCAGAGAAAATCTTTTTGTTCATTGGTCGCCAAATCATCAGAACCACATTTTATGCATGTTGGGGCCTCTAAAAACTCATAGTTTATATCACTGGGCCTGCAGTGGACATTCCAATATGACTACAGGGCATTCAACCTGATGACTTTCGAATCACCATGGTAATCTCTGCGGTCCAAAAAGTGTTCATTAGTAACCTATAAATCAATACTTTGCAGATGTAAGGTGGGTAGTCTAGTCACTGAGAGCAGAATTGGCTTTTAAATGTTCTGCTCTTATAATTTGAGATGGGTATGCTTGTCAGTCTTCGGTTGAACGTCGAGTGGCGCCAATGTGGAAATGTTGAGATACACGAAGGTTTTACCTTTGATTGTTGGTAAGCTTACTTGACACCTGGCATATTCGTGCCATCATTAAACTCGCATGGTTCTTGCTCCGGGTTTTGTAACTATGACAAAATTTAGGATAATAATTATAACTAGTGCCTGTTTTAAGTATTAATTTTTCACCGATGAGTGCTGGGCATTAACGTTGTAGTGTTATTCATTAGTTTTATCCCATAATATATCCTACTCTAGTTTTCGGACATTCCATTCTATTCATTCTACTTGAGTCATATGTTGACCTTGTCAATTATTCACTTGTCAGTCTTGACTGTTTTTATATGAGCGTGTATGTGTGTGCCCTTCTTATCCCATTAATCACATGTCTGTAGCTTTATTTTGTCTGACTATAAATATCGAGTAACGCTTGACTAAAACGGAGTTGGATTCCCAGCCATCTTCCCTGCGCGTCATTTTGCTCTGTTCTATTACATTCACTTTACATACAAAATATATGTATTCAAAGGCCATTCTCGTTAATTGACTTATCTAAATTCCGTTATTGACTAACGTGATTTAAGTCGATGATGATATACGAGAAAAGGCGATAACAATCATTCGTACGATCTTGGAGTCAGATCCACGGGCCACTAAAACGTCTGATTAGTGTGAAAATCGTGCTTTTTCCGTCTATCTGAAAGATTAGGAGAACTCCCTACAAATACCAGTGTTGTGTATGCTATAGAAAAGCTCTGATTTTCTAGACATGGTCTCGGGAAGAACGTTTTATGGTTTGTGATGTGTGATTTAAATACAAAGCAATAAACACAATCAATATAACTCACCATAGTGACGTACAGAAACCTGTGGTTGGTCAATTGTGGGCTTGTTTGCTTGTTTTTTGAACCTTACTTCGGTTTCGAAGGTTAGTGATACTAAATAAACTGTCCTAGTCAAAGTAGGGATGGAAGAATTCGAACATGTAACCTCAATTTTAGGTATACATTTGGTATTGTTCTTATAATGCATGACTACTTACTTACTTACGCCTGTTACTCCTCGTGAAGGAGCATAGGCCGCTCACCAGCATTCTCCATCCAACCCTGTCCTGGGCAATCCTTTCTAGCTGCGTCCAGTTGTAATTCATCGTTTTCATATCTGCTTCTATTATCCGACGCAATGTGTTCTTTGGCCTTCCTCTTGTTCGCTTCCCTTCAGGATTCCAAGTTAGGGCTTGTCTCGTGATGCAGTTTGAAGATTTGCGTAATGTATGTCCTATCCATTTCCATCGTCTTTTCCTAATTTCTTCTTCAGCTGGAAGTTGGTTTGTTCTCTCCCACAGAAGGCTTTGATATTGGTTGAAAGTTGTTTTGAGTTCCATATGTTCTTTAACTGTAGGAATGCTGTCCTTGCTTTGCCAATCCTTGCCTTTACGTCTGCATCTGAACCTCCTTGTTCATCGATGATGCTTCCCAGGTATGTGAAGGACTCTACATTTTCCAGAGTTTCGCCATGACTAAGGTAACAATAATAAATTTCTAGCAACATGGTCTAATGTTTGTACTGCTTATATCAGATTTCGATCACATTTTGTATTGTTGCCTCATTAAGTCAGTTCAATAGATAGTAGGTTATCCCGCTAGACTACTCTTCGTTAGTAATGTACCAAGTGCTCAGCAGAGATGCTTTTAATATTTTTGAGTATTTAGTTTCACGTCGTTTCCAGTATTTTAATATTTGAGAATTCATAGTTAATAAGTTTAATTTGTAGTGAAATTCACACTTCATACGTATAGCTTTTGCCACAGTTTTGTCGATAAAGAACACGATAAAAATTCAGTTCTTTAGGCATATCTAATTGAACCCGGTCTCTAGTTCGACAGACCATTTGCTGCAAGAACCCAAATCGTATTCATAGTTAAATCGGCCAGGAATTTCGTACCACTAATTATTGGCCTAAACAAAACCTATAGCAGAAAGAATAGCATGAACATAAACTTCTATATTTCAGTTCAGTTTTTAACAAGTCTTTCCGTAAATCTGGTACAGTTGTGTAAAAGTATATCATTCAAACCGAATTCACTGAAATTATTTAAGACCGTAAATAAGCTCAGCACACAAAGAACAGCGACAGCAGTTGTGAAGGTTCTGTTCAGTAACTAAAACATGACTTATTGTATTCGGATTCCTGGCTTAGGGCACATTGTCTTTTTTGGTTTGATGAACTGGGACGGTATTATTATTCATCCTGTGAAAACTGTGTCCTTAGTTAAATTTTGGTATTATTCTTAGCTACAAAGCTGCATCAAACTAAGTAAATTTACCTGTAATTGCATTACAACTCACTGTACTTGATGACTTCAACAAGGACTAGATCACCTAAGTATGTTACCCACTGTAGATCTGTAGATCGAAAACAGGAAATCTAAAAATAGAGAGCTTTTATAAAATGGCTAAAGTAAAAAAAAGTTAACTCTATTTGTTGAACGAATGTCAAAGTTGATTTGGTTCTAATCATAGCTTGTCATGTTATGCAAGCATACTTTCTTGGTTATTGAACTAATCTTTTCATGGTGTTCCGATCTTTAGATTTAACCATCAACTGCAAATGCTTACCCTCACTTTAATTTGAATGTAGTCTTTTCAAACTCAAGACTAACAGGACCTTAAACCTTCACTCTGAATAGTGAGCAGGTAAAAGTAGTACCGGAATTCATGTATCTGGGTAGCTGGGTAAGTGCTGGTGGTGGCGTGAGTGGTGAGATCAATTAACGTATAGTGAAAACTAGAGCGGCTTGTGCCAATCTTGGCCATCTTAGGCGCCCTCATGACGTTAGTCTGGCTGTAAAGGGTCGGATCTGCAATGCGTTGGTGAGAGTAGTTTTATTCTATGCTTGCAAAACCTAGCCTCTCTGTGTTAAGGTTGTCAGACGACTCTGTGTTTGATTATCGTTTCCTCTGAAGGACTGCTGACATTCAGTGACAACACTGTATTGGTAATGTAGAGGTTCAGCACCGTGTGTTCGGGCACAGTGACGATAATTCAGTTGGTGTCACTATCTCGAAACATCGACTTCGGTGGCTTAGGAATATCTTACAAATGTCGTCCTAGAGAATTCCGCGTCGTGCATTATTTTCTGACACTGGAACTGGTTGATAAAAGTGGAGAAATGGTCAGTGTATGACATGGTGTCGTGGTATGAAAGAAAGCTTTACAGGACTGACTCTTGTCGGTCTTTCACGACTCTCTGGTTGGTGTTCTGGAGGTGGTACTACACAATGCCTTAAGACGTTATCAGACATGGCTCAAAATAGAAGTCAGTGGCGATCCTGCCGTAAATTTATTTTACTTTCTTCATAACAGAGGACGTAACTTCTTTAACTCAAATTCTTTCTGCTTATATTTTCTCTAACTTAACTGCTCTTCCCGTTGTGTTTGTTATTATTTCACTCTCATACACTAATTCCTGTTCATTGTTGCACTTTTTTTATTATGCCCACCTTTCATTCTCTATCTCCACAGCCTCATTTTTACTGTGTGGTGCATGTGTATTTGGTGTCTCTTTCAACTTGACTAGGGATCAATGACACTTACGGCATCATTTTCCCATTGCATTAATTCATACCAAACGTTTGTTTCACTTTCAGTATTTTATGAATTACAGGGAGGAAGTCCGAGGTTATTAAATTCTTTTCTACTGCTACTTCAACCAGTACTACTCAGACCACCAAGGTTAGTTTTCGTTTCTTTATACTTCTATGATTTAGACTACTTATGGACCACTATCTGATGAAGACCGAATATTCACCAATTTATACGGTCGACATGATTGGCGTCTTAAAGGTGCCATGCAACGTGTAAGGTTATTATTATTGATTTCCTTTCAACATTGGTTATTTTAATAACAGGGTCACTGGTATAAAACAAAAGAGATTATCCTAAAAGGTAGTGATTGGATCATTGAAGAAATTAAAAAATCTGGACTACGTGGTCGTGGTGGTGCTGGTTTTCCTTCGGGCATGAAATGGAGTTTTATGAACAAACCAAGTGATGGCAGGTACAATTTAATGAATCGTTGTTTGTCTTGATCAATAAATAGTAAAACTGTATGGAAACGTTTCACACTTAACCAACTTTTTTATTCCATTTAGGAACATTGTTTTTGCCTTACTTTGTCCTATTAGCGTATAAATTAGATGAAAAGAAACACGAATTCATTGTTGAACATATTAGTTGAAACGACTGAAAATTAGTATCCGTGGCGTGGGCACACCCACTCGTTGTTTGTTCTTAGATCTTCATATATTCACAGACAACTATGTGGTATAGAAAAAGGGAAATGGAACGATAAAGAATTAAACTTTGTTTTATACATGATAGACAGGCCATCGACCTTACTGTTAAAACTGGTTAAATTTTACGGGAAAAAGGTTTCACTATGTAGGTATTTATCAGTTCCTCATCTTAGATGTGGAATTCAAACTGATTGAAAGCAAATTTTTTCACTGAAAAGAAGAATCGTACTATACTGCCACTGTTCGCCCTTCCTCGATGCTACAGAGATGGAATCATCAGTGAATCGTTTAACTAATACCAGCAAAAACAAAGAAACAGTCGATATTCGTATTTAAAACAATTAATCCATTTTATAAATCCCTACAGTATAATGAGAAGACCGAGTTAATTTGATCTCTTAATTGACCTCCATTAATTTTCATATATGTGCCTTCAAAATTGTATATGTGACTAGATTTTTCGTAATGTGTGACTAAAACGCATCTCATTTCTTAAATTTACCAATCGCCAAGATACTTAGAAGTATAGGAAGTGAATATCACTTTTTCCCCAATGAACAGGAGCCTAAATTACTGGTCCTGTGTCTCTGCGTAATGATATTAGAAAGACAAAATGTTGATGAGTTAGTTTCACATTTTTTGGTCTAGTTGTTAGCACGAAAATTGTCCGAGGAAGCTGATTGTCAATTTGTAGCTAATTACTGTCTATGGCTGTCTTTAAAATAAAAGATAATATCATCATTTATGCATACTAGAGACTTTTGTGATTCTTAGGTAAATACTTGTGTTTTCGTTTGTGTACATGTCGCCCAATATCTTGGGTACGTAATGTCCAGAAAAAAGACGAATAACAGCTATTTCGAATCTTATTGTCAATCAAATTTACTTACTAGGGGTCGAATTTTGGCGGACTATTGGTTTTGTTGATCTGTTTTATCATTCAGACATTTTATTTGTCGTAATAACACATGTTCCATCGAGAGAAATATAAACGAAGCCTCGGACCTAGGTGTGATGCTTGTTCTTACACTCGTCGACAAGACATCTACAATCTTCAGAGAACCGATGGTCTCATGGGATTTGAACCGATGCTACCTAGTGTCACAGTCAGTGGCACTACCACTTAGCTATTCGGGTCTCAGTTAACGTCCTACAAAACAGATATTTACTGTAAATATTGATTTTAAGCAAGTTTTATATTTATATAGTTTCTAGTACTGGCTAAATTCTATCAATCAAATTGCAACATGACTGCTAGTCTGCATGATTAGACGTCACTTGCAATATGTCTTCATGTTAAATGGTCGAATCCAACTGCTATTAAACTGTTGACCTGGATTTAATTTCAGTTTAAACTTGTCAACAAGGTTATAAACCTCAGTAGTATTTTAATTTAACACTTGAGATTTACTCTAGCCCTGTTATTTATTTAGTTGAACACATAAATATTGGCACAAAGGGGCACTGGATACATATGCGCCACATCAGTCACTTGATTTGTGTGTGGGCTGTGATACTACTCGGGTGCCCAGAACAAAGTAGGTGATTTTCCTAGAGAGCCACGCACGGAGCCTTCGACCTAAAGGTCTAATCCACAAGCCAGTGGAACAACGTCAGGAGACACAGTCCCATGATAGCCGGTGACCGGTAATTGGTTCATACGCCACTTATTCCTTCAGGATTTTGGAGCCCATGTGCATCACTGGTTTGGAGTCAGAGTTTTCCAACTCCCCTAGTTGGATTCCCCATATCCACCAACCCGGTTGAAGTGTCGGACATTCGGTTTTCCTCCTCTCAATTTCGTAAACAACACCTGTGGCGCGAGAAGGTAGTGAGTAGGATTTCCCTGGCAGTGGTTGTATGCACGTGGCCATATGAGATCATAGCCCGTTTATTTTTATTGTAAATTCACAAGTGACTGGTTTCTTATTGTGTTATGTAATTTGTCAACAAGTTGGTTGTTCATTCATTATCGTTAAAAATCAATGAATTTGTTTCTTTATTACATACTACATAATGTACATCTTTTCACTTGAAAGATTTTCTCATTTTAAGTTTTGGTTAACAATTGTTCTATGTACGCAAGTGTGTATATGTGTGCTGGTAATTTGTTTCTTTTTTGACCGAATTTTTGTCTCCTCTTGATAATCGTGTTGATTTTCCTCTGAATTTATTGATTACGTGTTGAGGATGCTGTGTCCTCTGAACGAAGAGGAAAATCGATTTTAATTTCTCATGTTAATTAAAGGTGATTTTCATCCTGTCGACTTCAATTCATTCGTTGTATTAAATTATTCAGAGTGAATTCTATGCATTAACTGTCATTGTGTTTCAGTTGTTATCAGTTATTTGGTTCTCAATGCATTTCCCCTTGTATAAGTGATTTTAATACTGATGTTTTGTTCAATGATAGCTGCTTAGTTCGATAAAATTCTATAATTAACTACAATTTAATTGATATATGTAAACAAATTAACCTTAGTGTAAATCTTAATCTTCTTTGATATTTTCTAATAAGTCTTAACAGGATTCTTCTTTCAGGGTGGCTGGCGGCTAAAATAGAATAGAGCTGTTGTGTTACAGTGTCACAGTTGCAGTAAAAGTTATCGCCACATATCCTACTCCGTACCACTCTCTCTTATAATTTAATGTTTTTCACATCACTGATTTGTTCTTTACTGTTTACTATTATTATTTGTCTAGACCTAAATATTTGGTAATTAACGCTGATGAAGGTGAACCTGGTACATGCAAAGATAGAGAAATTATGCGTCACGATCCACATACACTTATTGAAGGCTGTCTTATAGCTGGAAAAGCGATGGGTGCCAATGCAGCGTACATTTATATTCGTGGTGAATTTTATAATGAAGCGTCAAATATGCAATTAGCTATCAAAGAGGTAAATCATCATTTCTACTTTGATTCGGTAGTGGTTGTCATTCGTTTGCTTTCATTTCCTTCTGAAACTAAATAAGAGAGGCGATTCAGTAAAAGTATACTTTGTAGACGAGCTGAAAACAACCATAACAAACTTCCAGCTAGTTTCTAGCCAATAACCCCCCCAGCTTTTATTAGTGTATAATATATAAGAAAGAAAACAATAAAATGGCTTATTGTGAACCGATTTCACGTAATTATTAAATCTATTGCTAATTTCCTCCACAGGTTACTCTGTCTGTCCACTCCCCCCTAAAAAACAACAACATATAAACTCGTCCTTATGAATATAGATTCTTCATCTTTTCAAACACTTCTTATAAAGAACCTAAAAAGATGCCTAAAATTTCTCAAAATATCCTTCATCATGTCTAGGTATTTAGGGTAAGAGTTAGAGTTTTCATCACAAATTGACATTAGGTTACAGTGTAACAATGTTCTGTAGGAATATGTGTGGTGTGAGCTACTTATATTGATATAAGTAGTATATAACGTGCGTTAAAAGAACGTAATGTCTGGCAGCAGAAGATGGCGAAGATCAAGAAAGATGGAGCGAGAACACAATGAAATTTGTAAGAAAACGCATGAACAATGGAATGGGAGACAATGGATTGGTGTTTGCAACAGAAACAGTCCAGTTTGATTTGATGCATGAATATTTTGCAAATTGACGATTTACTATATGGTATTCGGATTTTGTTGAGATAGTCTGTGGTGTTAAATACATCCGTTTGTTCCCACCCGTGTTCTTGTTCACTACATATGAATGAATTGATTTCGCATAAGAACTTAATAGGCCGATGCACATATGTGCCTGGTTTTAAGTTGTAGCTGACTGACTGATCTGATTAGTTCGTTCATAAATCTAGTTCCTTCGGATTAAGGTATTTCAGGACTAGGGGTTTAAGGTTAGGATTTAAGGATAGCATTGATTTACAATCTACAGAGACAGAATTAAGCATTTGATACGTTTAGCATCGTCACTTTTATCCAATCGTTGCAAAGAAATAATCTTCTGCTATCATTTGAAATGTTTTGAGCAGTAAAATGAGGTATTTCTACTGCTCGATGGACGTGATATTTGAATTTTATTCAAAAATCTAACAGCCACTTTCTCGACTATAATTGACTCATCACTAAATTATACTTCTGCCGGCGAAATCAAAACGATGCTAGTCCACGAAGTCAGTCATTGACTGTTGATTTGAGTCGTATTGGTATATATAGACTACTATCTGGTTAACGGGGTGTGTGATAATTACTATTAGTGACTGGAGACGTTGGGTGATGACTGATTGACCGACTATTTCTATTTTCTCACTATCAATTATCATCACTTAGACATGGGAGGAACGAAATTTTGTGTAATCTTTGTACTTTCAATGAGCTATTTTAGTCAGTGATTTGGTAGACTTAACTTTGTGGTGATCAGTGAGTAGTTGACTGTTGTAGAAAATGTAATTATATAATTTTAAACATACCCACTAAGTTATGGAATAATTCATTGGTGGATTTTTTTTTACCAACGAGTTTATCTTTAAAGCTGTACAACCGTATATATATTGAACTTTTCTATACAGGCTTATGAAGCTGGTCTCCTGGGGAAAAATGCATGTGGCACTGGGTTTAATTTCGATGTTTATATTCATCGTGGGGCTGGAGCATATATATGTGGTGAAGAAACCGCTCTAATTGAATCTCTTGAAGGAAAACAGGTATCGTGTTTTTTGCTCTATCAATGTATGTCTTTTTTGTGATAACTTCGTTATATCTGCCACTTATTGTGTTTCCTGAATGCTTTACTGACTTGTGCTTGTTACTGAAAAGTCCGAGTTTGACGACGCATAGTGGGATCACCAAAACTCCTGATATAGATTTATTTGACCCCGAAAATAAATTGAAATGATCTATGAATACACTACTTTTTATATGTTTTATATACTGTCAGAATTGTGTAGTTTAAATTGAATACATTTATAATACTATACAATTAAACATCTATAATCAACGGATATAACTAATTGACCAAATTAGAATAATCCATTGTGTTATTGAATAAAATTGAGAAAATTCAGCGAAGAAAATGTTCTTTTCAACGAAATCATTTTACCTAAGCTCTGCTTTCGTATTTATACTGTTTTGTAAATATATATATATATATATGCGATCATATAAATATTAGTACAAGGGGCACCGAATACATATGCGCCGATAGAAGAGTAGAAAAGCTTGTATCAAAGTGATTCAAGACTCCAAATATCAAATGAAGTTGCGCATTAATTAGGGGTTTTGAGAAGAATAGAATAATGAAAGCCCCTAAATGCTCTGGTACGGCCGAGGGTAGGGAGAGTCACATCTCCCTCTGTAAATGCTCTCACGTGGCCACGCGTATGCAGTTTATAAGTAGTCAACACACTGATGTCCTTCAAGGTGATTAATAAACAATCAAGCTCCAACCTTCTGAAATTAGCTGAAGCATTAGCAACCAAACGTCTAAAACTAGATCTATGTATACAAAAAGAGACAGTAATAAATCTTTCTTTACTCTGGTAATAATAACCCCCTTTTTTATTCATTTATTTCTACTTATTTATTTATTGCGTCATTATTCCAACTCTTTCTGAAGTTTAAATTACATCATACATAAATGATTGATTTCAATTCATATTTACTTTATTATGATTAATCTATTTTCACGAGTTCTAATCACTATTTCAATGTTTCGGAACCTTCCCTCTTAAACTCTATTTATTCGAGACAAAATTTCATGACCTCATTAACTCTACCGGAATCTTCGCTATACCATGATACATTTATTCATCTTTAATCACCCTCTTATGTATAAGTATGTCAATATCTGCAATAATGTTGAATTTTAAATATTTTAGGTTGTAAGCAGCTGATGAGAACTTAACGAAATAAAATGAATTCATATTATTCTGCACCAATCTTTGTTCTTACTCTCTTTAAGATAATGAATGGAACTATGTGTATGGAATAATGAGATGTTGGATGTATTGTTTTTGTACATAGGGTCCGGGCTTGAATTAGTGAATCACCAACGCCTCATCAGTCCATAAGTTTTTGATTTGACCTCCGTCCAATATAGTTTCTTTGGTTGTGTAGATTATTTTAAAGGAAGATTTCTTTGGAGCGATATGTACAGAGTTGATTAGGTGCTCCTTTATAGAACTGTTGATTGTTTTGAATTCCCCTTTTAAAAACCATACCGACTGATGTTCTGATATGCGTCTGGGAAGTAATCGCTTTGTATGGCCAACGTAACCTTCCCCACAAAATCAAGTAAATTTATAGTTTCACATCAATGTAGCCTAAAGTGTAATTTTATCCTTGACTAAATCATATAATTACTTTTTCAAGATGTGATGAATAAATTTCACAGACGGTTGTAAAATAATCAATCTCATATGTCATTTGCATTCTAATCGACTTATTCATTGCTCATCATATCGAAATTTAGTTGAAATTCATTTGGATTTGTCATTCTTTCGATCTTCAAATCATTTGTATTCATCAGATGTACTATCTGTTTGATACATTGACAACAGCTTTCTAGAAATTAAGTCCTTCATGTTTTTTTAGAAATATTTTTGTTCCCTTTATACACTATTATTAGGGAAAACCCCGTTTAAAACCACCTTTTCCAGCGGATATTGGATTATTCGGTTGTCCAACAACTGTGACAAATGTTGAAACTGTAGCTGTTTCACCTACAATTTGTCGTCGTGGTGGTGATTGGTTTGCAAGCTTTGGCCGTGAAAGAAATCGTGGTACTAAATTATTCAATATTTCAGGTAATTCATTGAATAATTAATAGTGTTTTTTTTTGTAGTCACTATCAATAGGTCAGGTAGATAGGATTATATCAACCAACCTGAGTGGGTTACTACCTCTATGCATAAACAGCAGCCTTTTACTTATCGTTAGGACTTCCTTTTGTACTGGTTGTATTTGTTTTTAAATTTCTCCGGGAACCCATTTTCTTTTAGAGTACCAATCAATGCATTTATTCTTTCTTCAACTGCTTCTAGAGAGCATATGACCTTTATTCTATGATGGAGTATCTTAACCATATTTCGTTTACATTTAGGAGGGAAGAAACTAGCAAATTTCATCCAGTTTACTAAAAACGAGGAAGGTTCTTCGATTGACGCGTCTTATTGCTTTTCTGTTTTTGGCTCCTTTTCTGTAACCCATCTACTCTCTTTGAAGGGAAAACATTTAGAAAGGATATTCTGGCTCCATTTCCTTTCTCAAATGTGAATTTAGTAGACTAATAAACTTCATCAAATCTCTTGAGAGTGAGTTTCTTTCGAGTCAGTATGGCCCTTACAGATCATAAACTTATTGCCCATATATCGGTAATAAACCGGAGACTTATGAATATGCTGTAGCAGTGGACTGTTTTTTAGAAAAATGTCCGCTAATATGGGACCCGGTGATGAACTCATTGTCACGCCATCTGTTTGTTATAATATATTTCACCAATAAATATGAAGTTCACCTTCACGATGCATTGTAGTGATAACCCTAGTATGATTTTAACTAGAATCATAGTTCCTATTTCATGTTTTTCTAGTTTTTTTTCACAAATATATTCCACCGTCTGCATGAATGGGACATTTGTAAATCATAATATTACAACTAAGGACATCATAGTTAACTCATTAGTGTTTATATCTTTGATTTTGCTGAAGAATTGCAATATATCCTGAATACAGTGCTCTATCAACTGTCTCCGAAGTGGTTTCAAACTAGTTGCCAACCATCTTATTATGGTATGATTACGAAAGTTATACATTTCTGAAGCCAATCTTAATAGGACACTCGATTTTTGTACATATTGTCAATTTATGTAGCCTTGATAGATCAGTTCTTACCAGCTTAATTATTCCGTACATATTTGATGAAACTATCTGTTGATCTTTGAGCTTCTTTAAAAAAAGGTCTGGTCAGATCATTCTCCATCATTTTATTAAGATCTTTTTAGTCATTCAGTTTTTCGAATTTCGGATTGTTCTTTAAAATGCTATCAATTTTTTCAAAGTAGTCTTTTTTTGTCAAGTAGGACAATTTCAGTTCCTTTATCTAGTCGCGTGATAATCAGGCTTTCGTCTTTAATAGGTTCATTGGTAGCCTCCTTGTGCTCTTTTGTTTAAAAAAAACTTCGGTTGTTCTATTTACCACTTTGATAGCAACAATCAATTCGATTTGAGTTGAAAAACTTCCATGTTCTATTGATCGGAGGTCGAAGCTCGATCTGATATTTGATGACTTACGCCTGTTACCCCTCGTGGAAGGGTATGGGCCACCCAACAGCATTCTCCATCGAACACTGTCTTGGAAAATCCTTTCCAGTTGCTATTCGTCCTTTTGATATCTGCTTTCAAGTCGATAGCAACTAATTAAAAGGAATTTTCTTTGTTCATGTATCTCTAATAGTCTTATATCTGTAAAAAGATTAATTTTCATTTTAATAGATAATTTTGAAGTAATAATTCATGTCGTGATGCAATTTATGGATTCGAAAAATGAATACACACACACTTTGTGTGACATGATTGTCTTCTTAACAAATTTCTCAACATCCTAGATCTTGGATACCTACTGTTGAATGTCATTTTTGTTCGTCTAATTCAACTATGGATTTCTAACTACTAAATGGAATTTTTTTAAATTTTACATTATCTGACTAATCTAAATTTTATTATACATGTTTTTCTCGGTAGGGCATGTGAATAATCCATGCACCGTTGAAGAAGAAATGTCCATACCGATGCGTGATTTAATTGAACGACATGCTGGCGGTGTAATCGGTGGTTGGGATAATCTATTAGCTGTTATTCCAGGTGGTAGTTCTACTCCATTATTACCTAAAGAGTAAGTTATTTACTAATAAATTGTAAACCAATTGTCTGGTATTGTGAATTGATTGAAGTTAGATATGTAAAACATTTGGGTGCCAAGTTAGTAGTTCTAATTTTATGAAATTTACAAAAAAACATCAATGTTATAACTAGATTACAATGATTGAAGTCGCGTGTTAATTTCTTCTATTCCGTGTCTACACATGGCACCAGTCGATGTCATTGACGATTGAGCTTGACCATATTAATAGGTGTAGGCTACCTAATCGAATTCAGCGTGATTAGTGACTTTGGATGACATAGCTCACAGTCGTTTGCAATCATGTAGGTGCATCCATTATTTGTCTTAACCCAAATAGTAAGTTTTTGAATTTATCATAACCTTTTTTGTGTTTTTACTTCGCTAATTCATATTTTCTTTTGAGCCGTATCTTGGATGCCTGATCTTTTCTACAATCACTAATACTGTTACTATCTCTACTTTTCTGAGATTTCGCCTAACAAATTTATCTCGCTGTGCTAATGGGGTGTAGGAACTTGAACCAGTGTACAAACTTACATGTTCTTCGTTTTGACTGACCGATTTAGCGTCCATTAATTTTATTACTATAGCCTAATGTCCTAGACTTAACCATTTCATGCATCTGTCCTGAATAGTTAATTTTAAGCCGATTCAAACTAAACACCTATTGGTCCACTATACTTTAGCTCTTTTCTATCCTTTGCTTTGAATCCGAAGACGAGTTAACAGCACACTTCTATCATTATCATAATTATATTTCAGACACACTTGGATTAATATACAAACATACTGGATGACATCGTAACGTAAAATGAAAAAAGTCACAAATATACATGAGCAAATTTCATTGGTTGAAATCATGCGTCAATTGAAGCTAGACCACCATGTAAAACCTGCAAGCACTGGACGGCCGTTTCGTCCTAGTATGGGACTCCTCAGCATTGCGCATCCACGATCCTGCCCCCCCTGCGAGATCCGAACCCAGGACCTATCAGTCTCACGCCAGGCGCTTAATCAACTAGACCACTGAGCTGGCATCCAATGGTGTTAATGTTTAACTTCAACCAATCCACGAAGTTGCGCCATCGTACACCATTGTCTTCAGTGAGTTGATATCTCACAACTGACCTGATTGAACTACACTGGTAACGACTTCTGACTAGAACTCCAGGAATATCTCCTGAGCAGGCGATTATTATGAGAATGGATTTTGTGGAGATTTTAGAAATTTCACTGGTTGAAGTTAGACATTAACACCATTGGATGCCGTCTCAGTGGTCTAGTTGGTTAAGCGCCTTGCGCGAGACTGATAGGTCCTGGGTTCGGATCTCACGGGGTGCGGGATCGTGAATGCGCACTGCTAAGAAGTCCCATACTAGGACGAAACGGCCGTTCAGTGCTTGCAGGTTTTCCATGGTGGTCTAGCTTCAATTGACTCATGATTTCAACCAGTGAAATTTCTAAAATCTCCACAAAACTTATTCTGATAATACATGAACAAGCCAAAAATGGCTGTGAATACATCAATCAATCATACCATCTTCAGAATAACGTTCCTTTATATATAATTTATTTATTTATGTTATCACCTCTGCTTTTACATTACAAATTGGTATTAATTTTAGAAAATAAGTTGAATAATCATGTATGTTGATGGGGATTATGAGCTGGAAATTTCCGGACTAATACTACCGAATGGATATTAATAGAAATTGTTGCGTAATTATTTAACAGTTTAGTTACTTATAGTAAAATTAAAGCTCTCATCGGTTAAAAACAGGTTAATGGAGTTCATAGGATTAATTGTTTATTCCATTTTGTACTTAATTTGTATTCTTAGTTGCTCAGTTCAGATATTTGTTGAAGGGGATTATATGTATATATTTTTTAATTAAAATAATAATTTTCTTCCTGATCTAAACATTACGTGGTGTTTACGTAACTTATTAAACTATCTATTTATGTAACGAAAACCATTTCCTTCAGATATGACGAATGTAGAACAACTGAATAAGGAATCCTGTGGTTTAGGCTTAGAATACTTGGCAAAGATTGTAAATCGGTTGATGATAGAGTTGTCAACCTTGATCAACCTAGGTGGTTGGGACATTTTATACGTATGTATAACCATCGTCTACCTCAATATGTAGTGTTAACTGGTTTATGTAGGAGTAAGCTAGAAGGAAATTAAATGCGGACAAATGAGAACGTATAATTAATTCATTAACTCATTAACTGTTGGTCTGAGTCATGTAGGTAGATGCAAACTACTTAGTTGTAGTCAATGATTGTAACCTTTAAATTACGTATTTTAGAATTAGTCACACTGAAACAGATGCATCCATTTCTTATCTTACTCTAGTTCTTGAATTCTAATTTTCCTTCATAGATCACTTTTCACTGTGTTTTTATCTGGGACATTATTTTCAGTGCCTAGTGTTTCTTTCGATCATTACTACTACATTATTTCAACTTTTTTTACTATCGATTTTGTTAAACTCACATCATGGTAATTCAGTATGACAAACTAATTTGAGAAAATGCACACTTGTAACCAGGTTTTACGTTGGTTATGACTACTAACTTTCTTCATATGGTTTTTCTTTTTTTGAAAAAGTAGTTTTATATTTTCAATATTTTCACTGAATACTTGATTTACTACTATTTGTTTATTTATTATCATTTATTTCAGTATTTGTAGTACTGTCCTAATGGATTTCGATGCACTTGTACAAGTTAATTCTGGTTTAGGTACAGCAGCATTAATTGTAATGAGTCGATCAGCTGATGTTGTGAATTGTATTTCACGTCTTATTAAATTTTATGAACATGAAAGTTGTGGTCAATGTACTCCATGTCGTGAAGGATGTCGTTGGTTAGGTCAAATTATGACTAGATTTGGTAAGTAAGCATGTATACGCACATTTATATTCATTTATATTTCAAACTCATACACAATGCTGTGAAATCATAGTATTTCTTATTCCCAGACACATCTTACTATAGTGTTGTAAGCGGCTTTAGCTACCTTAGACTAGTTCGGTTTGAACTCGATGGCAAGAATTCAAGTTCTTTGTTAGATTACTTAAAATGACGCGTCCGAAGTCGATCAAAGTCAAAAGAGACTTTCTTGGCCCCTTGGAATTTATATATATGAGTGGTTCTACATTTAGAAACAATTAGCTTAGGTTAAAAAAGTCTTACATTCAAAATGATAAATTAGGTGAAGTTTTGCAAGTGAAATACACTAAGGAAATTATACATTGGTAGACTAGTTACTTATGAGTAATGCAATTATATAATAGACAAATCTCAAATAGCGTTTCTACTATTTCAATATGTTAGTATGAGGTTGTGTAAATGATCTAATTTCATTTAAATCACAAACCGATCTAAATTAAACGATAATGGAAAACCTGGAAGGATTGGGTGACTGTTTTATTTCGTAAATTCAATGAAATTCAACAATTTCCAAAACCCCATACTGACAGTTACTCCATATACTGACTACTGACTAGCTTCAAGAGAAGATTTCCAGTTGCAGTGAGAAGTCGTGATCAGCGAAGTTCATCTTTGTCGAGTGTGAAGAAGACATCCCCCTGAATACAATGGGAGATATTTACAAAATATTTTGATTCGATTAAGGTCAGTCAGTCAGTCAGCTACAATGTAGGATTAGGCACATATATGCATCGGTTCAAATTGCCATACCGCATTAACACAGCAAGATGAGCACCGGATTCATAGGAGTGGTTAGGTCAATGGTGGTAATATATAAAAGAAAGATTGCATGTAAGGATAAAATATAGGAAAAACGAATTAGTTGGTAGAAATAAATGTATGAAGCGATTTGAACCTCATAGTTTAAGGCGAGGCAAATAGTGTATACACCTACGCCATTGTGATCGATTCTAAGCCACAACACCCAGAGTCTCGAATCATTGGTTACGATAGTCGCGTGGACCACAATCATGTAGTCTGCTTCTACCAACATGACTCAGACTAAAAGTTAGTTTCTCCAAACACTGATGCCTCGTGTTGGTTTGGTTGTCCCTAACTTTATTGCAACCATCTTCTACACCGATTAGCATTGCACGTTGTAGTAGTTGGTGTTCGGGCATACGTAACACGTGGCCTAACCATCTCAGTCGATAAAGATTGACAACCCTATCAACTGATTTACCATCATTCCCTAATACCCTGTGTCTAACCTCACTATTACTTACCCGGTGATCTCAGCAGGTGCGAGTAATATTTCTAATACATCTGTGGTCAAACACTAGTAGCTTACGATTATTTTCTACTCTTAATGACCACGTTTTGCAGCCGTAAGGTAGAACAGAATGAACTGCTGTGTAGTATGCTCGTCCTTTTATTGATAGACATACATCTCGCTGTCGCCATTGGTGACTTAAGTTGGCAAAAGCCAAACGAGTTTTGCGAATCCGTGCTGAGATTTGGTGAGACGTCAACCCATTAGGGCTGATCAGGCTTCCAGGATAAGTGAAATTGTCAACTCGTTCGACTACTTTGCTCCCTATCCTTAGTTCAGGTATTGATGCAGGTCATTCCTGAAGCAACAACTTGCATTTAGAGGGAGAGAAGCGCATTCCAAACATTCTGTGTTCCCTATAGCCGCCGCTTTTTCCATTTCTTTTGCTTTCGTTGCCCACCACTGCTCACGGTCGTTCCTTAGACTTTTGTCTAAGCTAGGTCTAATTTGTTTACGCTCTTCATCGTTTTCAGAACCTGATGGGATGAGTTTACGAGAATCCATCAGTGCAATGGACCTTGAAGAAATCCATTTGTTTTTTGTAACCCTGTGGTTTAAATCACTGCTTGTATATCTTTCCAAGTAACATCTAGGTCAGCCTCGTTTTCAGAACTACCAAAGTGTGACCTCAGTTGTTTCTGGAACCTACTTTTGGTTTTCTCGTTACTCAACCCAGTTCTAATGGGTCTTTTTAGTGTGGCTTTTTTGCGTCCAGTGAGGCGCAAGCAGATGCGTGCCCGTATTAGGGCATGGTCGTAGTCCAAGCAGGTAGTCCAAAATGAGCGTTAATGTTTTACCGACCGTTTCCAATGATGACTGATGGCAATATGGTCTATCTGAGTCCATCGTTGGGTTGGTGTAGGGGGTCGCTATGTTAGACGATGTCTCTTCTTGTACTTAAAACTTGTGTTTGCTAAAAATAAACGATTGTCTGAGAACAGTTGCAGCAGACGATCACCATTATCTGTTCGTTGTGTCGGAATACTAAAATACCCACCTAAATGCCTTTCTGTTTGGTTTAAACTACCTATCTGGGCATTAAAGTCACTCCCTATGAGTACTATTGCTGAACGTTCAGCTTTGTGAAAGAGATTAGATAGCTTTCTGTAAAATTCATCTTTCACTTCATCCGAGCTGCAGTTGGTAGGAAAGTAGGCAGAAACGACAAAAAGGCAACGACGTGTGTCCCTATCCTTCCGAGTTCTTATGGGGCCGTTTAGCCGAACAGCACATAAACGACTGTTAACGGGGATCCACTCTAACAGTGCTTGTTCCGCCCTCATGCTTATTGCTATGCCTACACCTGCCAGTCCACGAGAACTGGCCATCGGGTCGCCAGATACACGGAGGGTGTATCTCGTTGGCTCTCCGTTTTGCCGAGGTGAGGTCAAGTGAATGACCACACTAGGATCCTGTATGCGTGTTTCGGAAACTCAGCATACATCAATGGTACGAGATTCTAGGGTTTTAGCCAAGGAAGCCTGCTGATCGGTTTGAAATAGGGTGCGTACGTTGAAGGCTCCAATGTGTAGTTTGGAGCGAGGTTTCAGTAGACCTGGGACAGTGTTTTGCTCATCAGAATCGTTGGACATGGTGACACTTGAGGAGGAAGCCAAAAGAGGAAGTTTAGATTTGAAAGTCGATGTGGGAGGAATAATAGGAATTGAAGAGGGAGGTTGATTATGAATACAGTGATCTTGAATGCTGTTAGAGGTATGAGGGCGGTTATCACTTCGCGGTTGCCCACAGCGTGGAAGGGTTCTTCTGGAGGTACCTGAAAAGGAAATTGGGTCAGATCTGGTCTTACTCACCTGAGAGTGTGATCATAGTGCTCAAGGGACAACTGCTTGAGGTCGGTCACACACGACCTTTATATGAGTAATTTTTGTGTTAGCTCTGTACTTGTTGAGACTTTACTGCCGGAGACGGATATCCGTGGGATAAGGCGAGGTGTGCATTTTTAGGGTCGATCTTTTCTAACCCCTCCCCTCCTTGTGGGAAGGCAGCATCGATGTCATGCTGGTTTTCCGGAGGAAACACCTTACTGCCGTCACACCTCTGTACAGTCAGCAGTACGACTTCGCCTTCGGACCTTGAGTTTGTTGCTCTTAGTCTTACCGCTCTTCAACCGACCTGTCTGACATGGTAGGACCTTGAGGAACGGTTGTTCCAGCCAGTATAGCTCGGTTGCTTCATCACGTCAAGATAGCAACAACGGTCGGGATTCGATTTAGGTAAGACTTGTTCACCATGGGATCCCGACTCAGTGGTCTAGACGTTAAGCATTCGACCTTTGAAAATGAAAGTTCCGGGTTCGATCTCCAGTTACAGGGTCGTTGGTGCACACTACTGATGGGTTCCATATTGTGACGAAACGACCTCCCAGTGCTTTTAGGTGTTCAGTAGTTGTCTAGCTTGAACTTGTTCATGATTTCAGTATGAACAAGTGAATATTCCTCATACAATAAAAGTGTATCTCAAAGGTAAGTAAATCAACCTGTACTTGGTAAATTTTGCTGTTATTTTTCTCTTATTCTCTCTCAAGAGCACTTTTGCCTTCACGACCTCTGTGTGTGTGTTTATATGTATTTTTTACATTTCCTAGTTAAAGGCAACGCTAATAAGGATGAAATCGACATGATATGGGAAATTTCTAAACAAATGGAAGGGCGTACAATTTGTGCTTTAGCCGATGGAGCTGCATGGCCTGTCCAAGTAGGTTGGACTATTTCTTTGTTCTTTTTTTTTCTTTCCAAATGATATACATAATAAAATTATATTCGATTTATGTCTAAACATTGTTCAGATTTTGAAATATTTCTTAAACTACAACGTTCCCTCATTTCGTACCATCTCAATCTGTGGATTTAAGTTCACTCGATGATATTCAGTGGTATTTTCTAATACGCTGCATCAAATTTTGATAATCCTCAGTCATTTGTCCTAGTAGATCATAATTTTTATGGTCTGTGGTAATCGACCAACAACAACTTCATATTAAATTCTTAAAATGTAAGTTAATCATGATAAACGTAAGATCTAGGAGAGGTTTATATTAATTCAAGTTGACATGTCATATCAGTCAGTACAACAGAACGAAATTCAAAAGAGATATACCAAAAGACTCGAAAAACTATCAGTAATATTAGTGATAGTAATAATAACAAGACAGTCCGTCACCAATGTAGCACAGCTAGCGATTGGCCCCAAGTTGTTGTGCCACATTAGCACGGTAAGATGATGAATGGTAAAAGAGATAAAACCAATTGTATTAGTATAAATAGATTTAGAGAATATGGTTGGAAACGGTATGAAATAATATTAAAACTGAAGATTTGAGAAAAGATAGAGAATAAATGTAACTGTTCCACTTCAAAGGATTTTGTGTCATATTATCTTAACATTTTTAATCCTTGGTTATAGGTATTGTTTTCGGCATCGATCAGGATATCTGCACTAACCAACACGGTTCAGACCAACACTAAATGATATCATGTAATGGTTGCATGTCTTCATCTCCCGCGTTCCCCCAAATGCCCTAGTACGACCGAGAGTGGGGAGTGTCAGCTCTCCCTCACGAAATTCTCTCATATGGCCACGTGCATACAACAATTATCTGGGAAATCCTACTCACTACCTTCTCGCACCACCAGAATCGAATGTCCGGCGCTGTAACCGGATTGGTGGATATGGAGGATCCAACTAGGGAGTTGGAAAACCCTCATTCGAAGCCAATGGTGCACATAGGCTCAACGACCCTGATGGAAAAATGGCATATGAATTTACTGTTGGTTATCGGCTACCATGGGACTGCATCTCCTGACGTTGCTCCACTGCCTTGTGGATTAGACCTTTAGGTCAAAGGCTCCGGGTGTGCCTCCCTAACAAAACCATCTGCTTCAGTTTTAGCACTCGGGCAGTATCACAGCCCTCACACCAATCGAATGATTTATGTAACGCATATATATTTGATGCCTCCTTGTACCAATGTTTATGTGTTTAAATAAATAGATCTCTCCGACCCTAGTATTTTTCCAATCCATTCCTATTATAGTCAACATTCCACGTCAATATGGACGGTGATTCATCGTGCATGATACATTTCTTAACTGCTATAGTTGATAAACGTTTACAGCCGCATTGTATGGAGCACACGTATTCAACATCTTAATAATTAATTTTTATGAACACTTTTCTGATAATCTCCCTTTTTTTCTTTCTGTCATTTTCATCTTTATTCAGGGTCTTATTCGACATTTTCGTCCTGAACTGGAAGCTCGATTTGCTAAATATGGTATAGAATTAAATGAACCACCTAAAGCTGAATCCAGTATTCCATGTTGATAATAATAGTAATAATGATCTATACTATTTCTTTCTTTCATGATTACTGTTTATATATAAATGGATATTATTAAATTAAAACCTTTATCTTAGTTTCTTCGTCCCTTTCACAACAATAATGACCATTTACCTCAGCACATTTTTATATATGTGTGTGTGTATTTCTCAACTCTTTTCAAAATTATCTTCTCTTTGTCTTGTTCAACTAACTCTCTTTCTATACATAAATATATTACAAGTAGCAGAGAATGAAGAATACTTCTTCATTTTTATAAATGTCTCTATTTTCAAACTAATAGGGTAGTTTAAAAGTTGAAAATATGAATTTGTTAAGCGTTCAATTCTCGTCGGAATGAAGATTTTCAATTTAGTGATTCAATATTATATCAATCATTTAGTCTGTGATTGAGATCATGAACCGATTAATGTTAGACCACCGTTAGAAATTTGGAAGCACTGAATAGCCGTTTCGTCTTATTGTGGTACTCCTCAGCAGTGCGCATCCACGATCTCGCTCGTGGGATTCGAACCCGGGGTCCTCAGTATCGCGCGCAAACGTGGGATCCTTGGAACATGTGTAACGGTTCAAAATACTACATTACATCAGTTTAGTGAGACAAAATTATTAAGATAAGTTCCATAGTTGTAGAAATCGTGATAGTCTCAGTATTAGTAAAAAGTATTCACTGTAAAAGATTTGATTCAAAAACGGGAAAATGAATTTGTGGAATAAAAGTTGGATAATAATTTTGAATCTCAGAATCCAAGAAAAGATAACAAGTGAATAAATGCATCTGTAGCATTGCGATTATTTCTGCGCTATGTTGTCTAGCGTTTCGAACCATTGATCGCGGTTGTATTGTGGACCCCGATCAGGTAACCTGAGTTTTATTAATGTAGCTTAAACCAGTAATTACTGACTCTTTGTACTGACATCACATTGTTGTTTGACTATTCCAGTAGCTTTTTACACCAGTTGATGTCACCTGTCGAAGTAGAGTGTGGTTAATCATACGTAATATATGTCCCAAGTACCTCAGTTACAGTCAGTCAGCTACAATGTAGGACTAGGCACATATATGCATCGGTTCAAATTGCCATACCGCATTAGCACAGCAAGATGAACACCGGATTCATAGGAGTGGTTAGGTCAATGGTGGTAATATATAGAAGAAAGATTGCATATAAGGATAAAATATAGGAAAAACGAATTAGTTGGTAGAAATAAATGTATGAAGCGATTTGAACCTCATAGTTTAAGGCGAGGCAAAGAGTTTATACACCTACACCATTGTGATCGATTCTAAGCCATATCACCCATAGTCTCGAATCATTGGTTACGATAGTCGCGTGGACCACAATCAAGTAGTCTGCTTCTACCAACATGGCTCAGACTAAAAGTTAGTGTCTCCAAGCACTGATGCCTCGTGTTGGTTTGGTTGTCCCTAACTTTTTCCCAACCATCTCCAACACTGGTTAGCATTGCACGTTGTAGTAGTTGGTGTTCGGGCATGCGTAACACGTGGCCTAACCATCTCAGTCGATGAAGATTGACAACCTCATCAACTGATTTACCATCATTCCTTAATACCCTGCATCTAACCTCACTATTACTTACCCGGTGATCTCAGCAGATGCGAGTAATATTTCTAATACATCTGTGGTCAAATACTAGTAGCAGCCGTAAAGTAGAACGGAACGAACTGCTGCGCGGTATACCTGTCCTTTGTTTGATCAACTACCTCAGCAGATGAGTTTTTATAGCACCATCAATCGATTTTCCATCTTTACTGACCATCCTAAATTTTATTGTATGCTCATCTATTCGACGGTTCCAACATTAGGGAGCAATGCTTCGAAGGCATCTATGATCAAATTTTGGTGGTCTGTGAATATCCTCCATTAGTGAAGGCCACATTTCAAGCCAGTAAAATGGAACAGAACTGAATTCTATGTATTACACTCGACCTTTCGTTTACAGACAGAAATCTCTCCTAAGCCACAAGTTGACAAAGCCCTTGGACGTAATGAATTTCGTCAAACACCAGAGGTGATATGACTCCCAAAATAATTGAAGTGGTCGACGTGCTCAGTCTGACATTTTGGGATTATACGCTATTGTGAAGTCATAGGCACTGGACAACCTTTAGTCCTTATTGATTTTCCATGCCTCTATAGTCAATGTCAGTTAGTTCGTGATCAGAAGAATGTATATCAATGCTACAAAATCTTTGTAAAGAAATTTCTGCTGTTTGGAAAATTATCTTTAAAGAAGAAATAATTTATGCATGTCAATACACATTAGTTAGAAATGTACCTAAGGATGCAGGTCAGACTAAAATACAAGTAAATTGCTCTATGTTCATATACTTGGGCTTTGTTCCATGTGGTTGCTCCACGAATTGATTACTTTTTTCACGCATTAAAGCCAAACGCGTACTGATATGAAGGTTAACAGAATAGGATATGAAATGTGTTTCTACATCTGGACGTAGAAAATCATTTAAACGGTATGATAATGGATCTAATTTCATTACTTCATAAGTTTGATGTGGGAATAGTCGTTTGTTTTTCGCATACTGCTACCCGTAAAAAGGAAATTCGGAGTCAGTGAGGATATTGGCTTTCGCCTACTCTACCATTTGATGCAAGGTATATTGCACAATTTTATTCTCAGTTAAATGCCTGTAATTATCCCATTTCCCATTTTATATAGAGATATCGTCCTAATATTCAAGGTTGTTAAGTTTCTTATTGGGATAACCTGGGTTAATCAGTGGTTTGATGCTGGGAAAAGACTGAAAGAATCTCGTCTAATACGCTTTTAACAGGATCTTCCTAGAGTTTAAGAAATACTATGGTTTACGTATCATGTTATGATTGGATAGTCACCGATTCGGCTATCAGTTTTGAAATGTGTCTTGATGCTTTTAAAACATCGAGGTTTTGAATATGAATTTCTCCTGAGACGGAATTAATCATGGGAATAAGGTTTCTTTCCATAGTTCGCTCGTTTCGTATTTTGTTTGGGTTCAACTGTATGGAATTTCTTAAGGCCTATGAAACATTTAGGATACTAGTATCATCCATTCAAGTACGGGACCGATCAGATTTTGTTTACCACTAGTTGTTTAGCTAATATCGATTTCTGACAAAAACTGTTACGAATCTATCAAATCTAACGTGATTTCGAAATAAGAAGTTTGTAGGTAACTATTATACTTGATGCTTGTGGGGAATTTTGAATACTTGTGTGATGATAATTTTGCAGAACTTTAATTTATTGGTTGACAGGTTTGTCATTAGCTAACTATTTAACAACTTCAACATCAGTCAATACAATAAACGAGATAATTACATTCTTCTTACCAGTCTAGTGAAAGTGAAAAAATCGATTAAATTGATTAAGACCTCAGAACAATTGGCCTTTTTTGTGTAGTGAGTAGGCATACTTATATGTAAAATAGTAGCATGATGCGAACATAATGAAATACCACAGGTGATTGAAGAAAATTATTTTGTTGCTCACTTTCTCTAGTCAATTAATACCTCATCGTCAGTCATAGTTTTATTATTATTACTATTATTAGCTTTATTCAATATTACATTTTTGGTACAATATGAAATTTTCAGCGCAAAGTATTTCAACAAGTTTCCGTTTCTTTCTTCTTGGTCGGTCCTTGCGATAAATATTGAGTGATCGCCAGTTAGATGTTAGCAGTTCAGTAAATGAACATCTGAGTAATGTGCATTCTTTTCGTTGTATATTGCCAGCAACCACATTGTCTCTTATTGAGTTTTTTGTAACTTTGACAACGAAAGGTTGTGCACTTTTCAGAAACGCAGCAGAATAGATTATGCGATTAATAGACATAATGATACATTAAAACAAACAAAAATAGATAACTTGTTGAAATATCTAGATGGCAGGAACAGGTAACCCAGATGCTCAAGCAGGCCGCCCTTATTTTGGTTATTGTATAAATAGTTTAAGAAAATGTCATTTATAGCTCTGCTCTTGATCATATTACTAACATATGCATCCTTACTGTTTATTATCACCATTTCTTATGATTTTAATAAGCATATATATAAGAAATTTTCGAAAAATTAAGTTGGCCGTAGTATTTCATGCTACTTTTCAATAGTTGTTAACAACCAGGAAATCTGATCTGTAGACATCTCATTTATGATTGATAACATTGGATTAATGACTTACTAGTCGAATGATCGATTAATAATATCATAGTTTTATAGGAGGTTAATCTCACAACTTGTTTAGCTTATTGGCATCGCATCATACTGTGACACTGGTTCAAATTCTACATGAATTATCAATTCTTTCAATATTAAAGGTATTTCTTTCTAAGGAGTACTGACTGAAATAAAACTTAAGTCCTGTGTTTGCTGTAAACTGCTCTTCCATCAAAACATAGTTTACGAGGTAATGAGTTGTTAGGACTAGTAGTCATATTGGAATTTTTTAGTTAGATAAGAACTAGAAAGACATGACATTGAGTAACTAGTGTTGTTTCAATAGTTTCACTTATATACATTCAGGGAAACTGTTGAAAACTACTGACACTTAACAGTTTTCGATGTTAGATAATCTGGTAAGTGAGTAGAAGTTCTCATTTATACTTCAATATTGAGTATTATCGTAAAAAATAATTACAAAATATATAAGCAAAGATGGATGGTGGTCAACAATGGAATACAGGACGCAAGTTTCGTCCCTTTCCGGACTCGTCATTTAGATGTATCTTCATTCATGAGTTGATATTCACTCCGGAACTCGAACCCAGTACCATTTGCTTCAAACACCATCACGTTATCCAATTAGCTACTGATAACCACCTGCCTGTGCAATGGGGTGAAGTTTAAATTCACTTGGTATTGTTTATTTTAATTTTCCCATTGTTGTTTTAAAGCTGCGATTGATTAGTCACTTACTGCCACATGTGCATACTGCACATATTTCCTCAATATTGCCTTAATTCATAAGCTTTTTATGCAAAAATGGGTGATGGTTATCAATAGAACCCAGGATTCTCATTTCGTCCTATTTAACACTCGTCAACTGAATGTGTCTGCCTGTGACTTAAGTCAATATTGAGGTAAGTTTAACCTGGATACATTAATGTCAATCGTAATCCTAAAATAACAATGAGATTATACAATCAAATAATATCATATAAATTTTTATTACAAAAATATACTTGTCATAACTTGTGACCGCCGATTAGAGGGCAGTGAATTATCGATCGGACCAAGAACGCGTAAAACACATGCGAGCAGTCTAGAGTCCCGATTGGTCCTGCTTTCCGCCTAGGCCAGCCAGTTAAGTTCACAACATCAATCTCAATCTCTGCAATATGAATCATTATATATAAAACATACTGAGTTTATATATCAACCAGACAGACCACAACGTACCAATAAAATATGAAACAACATTTGTACAAGAATTAGCCAGATGTGGCTGTGATTGAGGCCGGTAGTAACTAATATACTGGGTATAACTCAAGAATGGTAAAACGTATAATAATGGTTCATAGGTGAATATAAAGCTTATGATAAAAGGAACACGAATATGAATAGTTTAGTTACTTAATAATTATGCAATAGAAATACACGTGTAGTATTGTTCCATCAACACATCCCAAAAGTAACCATTCATTATTCTTATCGGGACATAATAATACTTACTTACTTACTTACACCTGTTACTCCTCGTGAAGGAGCATAGGCCTCTCACCAGCATTCTCCATCCAACCCTGTCCTGGGCAATCCTTTCTAGCTCTGTGCAGTTGTAATTCATCGTTTTCATATCTGCTTCTATTATCCGACTCAATGTGTTCTTTGGCCTTCCTCTTTTTCGATTCCCTTCAGGATTCCAAGTTAGCGCTTGTCTCGTGATGCAGTTTGACAATTTGCGTAATGTATGTCCTATCCATTTCCATCATCTTTTTCTAATTTCTTCTTCAGCTGGAAGTTGGTTTGTTCTCTCCCACAGAAATCTATTGCTGATGGAACCTAACAATACTTTTTTTAAAATAAAAAAAATCACTTTTATGTACTTTTATGTTTACACCAATAATCTATTTCCTTTATAGATTGTATATCACATGAAATGATTGATCATCATTATAAATAGTACATTATCTTTTCTTATTTATTGACTTTAATTTCTCTTTCTTAATTATCTACCTAGAAACAATATGAGTACAATTCATAAAATAACTCAACAACAACAACAACAACAACACCGACAACAACGATTACATCATCATGTTCATCAAATAACCTCAACACTTCATAATCATACTTCATTACAAACTACAATCAATTCAGAATTATTATTACTTGATCATTTATTGAATAATCAACAAATAATTCATTATTTATTAAATAAAAATACATTTTGTTTAAATCATTCAAATTTATGGACAATTGAATGGTTACAACAATATTTAGATATATTAACAGAATTTGGACAATTACTTATAAAATGTTATAAAAGTAGTAATATACATCATATACATATTGATGATATTTTACCTATAACACGTTTATGGCATAGTTATTTACAAACAAGTTTAATCTCATATCCTATAGAAAGTATCATACTTGGTCATGATCAGGATCAATATATCAATCAAAAAATCAATTTTACATGGGATATGTATATTGTATTACATAAACCTAATCAATGTCAATTAAGATCATATTTATTCAATAATCAATCAATAATTAATAATATACCAAATTATTATTATCTTACTATACCATCATCATTCATTAATATAGAGAAAATGGAATCATCTATAGAATTATTATTAAAAAAACAAGAAATTAATGATCCATATGAATCAATTCGTATAATTGATCATTATTTATTCAATGATCAATGGGATTTCATTTCATCAATGAAAATATGTCAATTATTATTTAATATAATATTACCAGAATGTTTAAATACAATAATAATGAATAATTTTGAACAAACTAATCATTTAAAAGTAATTCGATGGAAATGTTTATATGAAAATGATATTAATAAAGCAATTGAAAAAGGTTATTATCCAATTGAAGTAAGTTATTATATTAAATATAAAAGTATTTTTCCCAGCTAGTTGAACTTAGTAGCTAAGTGAATGATGTGATGACGTTTGACGAGAACGACAGGTCTCCAAGGTGAACAGCCTCTGGCAATTGAACAATGTAGGTAAGGAAAGTCGGCAAATTGGATCCGTAACTTCGGGAGAAGGATTGGCTCTAAGGGGGCCGAGTCAGACAGGCCGAGATCAGATACGTGTCGGTCCAGTTGGAGGCTGATTTCTTTGCTGCTTTGTGTGCTTCGATGCGCGTTGTGGTGAGGTTACTGGATTCTGACTCGGGTCGATTGTGGGCGGTTTCAGCTGTTAGTGTCGTGCAGCTAGCAACGCGCGAGGACTTGTTCCACGTTGCGTCAAGCGGCTGTACTTCCATGGTCTGGCGCGCGACGGCTAACTCAGAACTGGTACGGACCAGGGGAATCCGACTGTCTAATTAAAACAAAGCATTGCGATGTCCACTGATTGGTTTTGACGCAATGTGATTTCCCGAAGTGAGTATGAACTCTGGGATGTAGATATATATTCAAGTAACGAGTCCTAAATAAGACGAAATTCACTTCATTGATTTCATTGTTAGTCATCATCCATCTCATTTTAATATATATTGGGTGTCTTAAATATAGATTATAGAAGCTTGTCTACTATCTTCTCTCGTTCAGATTAGTAGTAGAAGAAGGCGTCTGTATCGAAGGATCAATAAGGATTAAGAATATGGTGTTCTTAACTGAGAATAAATCTTGACGTTCAAAGTGTATTAGTGATCAAAGATTAGGACGCTAGGCTACAAAGGAAACGGTACAGGTAGGGTAGAGAAATTCTAGCTGCGATTCTAATTGCTGAAACGTCTTTAGATATCGATTAACCTCCTTGCATAACAAGTGTATTAATTTTTTTAAAATCGAGATCATGAATCGATTGATGTTAGACCACCTTTAGAAACCTGAAAGCACTAGATGGCTGTTTTGTGCTCAGCGGTGCGAATCCACGATCCTGCTTGCTGGATTCGAACCCAGGGCCTTCAGTATTTATATAATATGAAGAAACTCAATAGAAATCTTCAATGTTAATATTGTTTTACTCAAATAACACTAGTAAGGTTTGATTTTCTTGGTTTCATCTGTTATATATATACATATATACTACCTCTAAAGTATTGCTCACGGAATCGTGAAGTTATAAAAATTCTAATCTTTTCAAACCTTCAGTTCAAGCACTAGTAATACACTATTAACACTAGTAGATATGTGATTGAAAATCATTTTTGATTCATAAATTACAGTATACTAATATTATAAACCTGTTAATTAGTTATATTATGAAAATTTCCTAGTTATACATCTTTGGAGATTCGACTGATTGATCAATGAGTAGTGACCAATATATTTCATTACTATGACTTAACGTACCTGCTTCGGTTTGGACACCCGGGCACTATCACAGCCCTCACATATATCAAGTGAGATTTGTGTGGCGCATATATATTTGGTGCCTCCTTATACCAATATCTATGTGTTGAAACAAATGAAATAAATAAATGACTTAACGTTGGTTGAATTCTATAGATCAATGTTTAAATGTAGTCACTACTAGTTTAAATGGCTCGATATGATGTGAACTATATTCTGATCTGTTAGAAAAAATGTATTCAAATGATATAGATGAAAGTTAATAAGTCTTTAAATTATACCCAAAATACACAAAGTTATCTATCTGATATACTTCACTGATCTATAGTCTAGTATGAATAGATCGACGTACTTTTAGAGATAACGCTCTCCTCATCTAAATTTCTAGGAGTTGAACTTCTACCGGGAGGTTCACTTGTTGACTTAGAATATGCTGATGACATAGTTTTATTTGGTGAAGACGCTGAAAAAATGCAGAGTCTTCTGACCACTCTAAGCAACAATGCAAGCATGTTCGGGATGCGATTCTCTCACTCGAAATGCAAAATGTTGCTTCAGGATTGCGTTACATCGACACCCGAACTAATGATAGGGAGTGAAGTAGTTGAGTGTGTCGACCGCTTCACTTATCTTGGAAGTCTCATCAGTCCTTGTGGTCTGGTGTTTGACGAAATCTCAGCACGGATACAGAAGGCTCGACTAGCTTTTGTCAACTTGCGTCATTTATGGCGTAGATGAAATATCCGTCTATCAACCAAAGGACGTGTTTACTGCGCAGCAGTTCGCTCCGTCCTACTTTATGGCAGTGAAACATGGCCGGTAAGAGTAGAGGATATTCGTAGGTTACTAGTATTCGATCATAGGTGTCTTCGAAATATTGCTCGTATATCATGGGACCATCGAGTAAGTAACACAGTTGTTAGGAAACGGCTACTACGTAAAGATGGCAAATCAGTTGATGACGTATTGAAACTTCATCAGTTGAGATGGCTGGGACACGTGTTACGTATGCCCAACCACCGACTGCCCCGACGTGCGATGTTTTATGGTGTAGGAGTGGGTTGGAAGAAAGCTAGGGGTGGTCAGACCAGACAAGTGGACTGAGTCATATTGGTAGGTGTAGACTACCTGGTTGGGGACCGCGAGATGATAGCAACCGATGGTTAGAGACCCTAAATGACATGGCTCAAAACCGTTTGCAATTGTGCAGGTGTGTCCACTCTTTATGTTCTCCCAAATTCTAATCTTCTGAATTCTTCATGTCCCCTTCTTTTTTTCTTTTTCCAAATTTATTTTACTGGGTTATACTCTTTAAATAACATCTCCAAACCGTAATCTTCCCGGTTAATGCTTATAATCTTACTACCTCTACCACTACGGGATTTGAATCGACACCTGCATCTCTGTGCTAATGTTGTGTGGCAACTCAAACTGATGTACGTACGTACGAAGTTCTCCGTTGTTACTGACTGACTGACTGACTGGATGAATAGATTGAAATATGTAGTTCTAGACATTAATTAATCAATAATAATTTACAATATTATGAGATTAAAATACTTTAACTAATCTACTAAGGTAAGTAATTTACTCCAGGTGGTATTTAACATCCATTATTAAGATGTATCCGCAGTTATGAGGATTCTAGAAGATCTGACAATTACGTTAGGGGATTAAGATATTAAAACCTTTTATCGCCCCCCCTCGGATTTGATTTATTACCGTTTTTATGATCTCATTGAATACGATTCATTTCAATTTCAACTAATCTATAAATTTAATAATTGATTTTATAAGTTGATTAAGGCTAGACTATCATAGAAAACCTGGAAGCACTGAACAGCTATTTCGTTCTAGTATGCTCTCAAATTCCATATGAGTGATCATAAATGTGTACTGACACTGAAGAATCTTTTATAATAGGACAAAACAACTGTCCATTACTTACAGGTTTTTCACAATGATTTAGCTTTAATCAACTCATAAATTCAACCATTAAACTCAACCCCCCCCCTATTCACATTAAAAATCGATAAATGATTCTTTTTCCTTGTTCTTGTTTTCTTTCTTTTTTCTTTCAACTTAAAGGTTGTATTTGATTTAAATAGTATAGGTCTTAATTCATTTTATTATCATTCTGAATTATGGAAAACTCAACATACAACACATAAAATACAAATCAATAAAAATAATCATTTATTATCTATATCAAATATTGATTATAATCATAATAATAATGTTAAATCAGAATCAAATTATCATTCTTCCGTTACTATGCCAAATATTTTAATTATGTATATTAATTTTCATCCAGTTTTTTCATTTAATGATTTTATCAATACTACTCCTACTAATACTACTACTAATACTACTACTAATACTACTAATAATCAATCAAAAACTCAGATAGCAACGATAACTAATAATCGATATATATCGATTTATTGGAAACATAATTTTTTAAAATTAATAACTCCATTACAATTCAATCATAATTTACCATTATGGTCAATATGTAATTGTCTTAAAGAAGATTATCTATTACAAAAAATTCATTTTTATTATAATAATCATTATTTTTATATTAAATCTATTAGAATTTTATTAAATTTATTTCAATTAAATGATTTATTATATAATACAAATTTATTAAAATTATTTAATATTAAAAATATAATTGAATTATATTTACAATTCATTGATCAACAACAATCTAATCAATTAATAATCAAAAATCAATATAATTCCAATAGAATTAATTCGGAAAAAAAATCAATAATTGGTTGGCAACAAGAAAAAAGTTTATATGAATTCATAAATGATTTATTAAAAAAAATGATTGATATATTACGTAATAAACAATTATTATCTATTACTAGTCCAGAAACTAATTTATTACAAATTAATAATGATGACGTCGTCACAAATAAATGGATTCATCAATCATATATGATATTAACTACATGGTATACTAATCCATTAGAATTAAAAAAATTAATCATGAAAAAAATTGAAATATTAAAAAAATTGATTCATAAATTTAATGATTTATATCCAAATTTCATGAATGAATTTGGACATTGAATAGACTTTTACTTTTTAGACAGTATCTCAATGATAGAAGTTGATCAGTTGATCATTTCATGAATGAATTTGAACATTGAATAGAGTTTTACTTTTTAGACAGTATCTCAATGATAGAAGTTGATCAGCTGATCATTTCATGAATGAATTTGAACATTGAATAGAGTTTTACTTTTTAGACAGTATCTCAATGATAGAAGTTGATCAGTTGATCATTTCATGAATGAATTTGAACATTGAATAGAGTTTTACTTTTTAGACAGTATCTCAATGATAGAAGTTGATCAGCTGATCATGTCATAATGTTTTGTATTCTGATACTTTTTTTCATTCCATATCATCCTTTTATAGACTTTATGTTAGAAACACAGAGAGAGAGAGAGGGAGGGATAGTGAGATTCATCAATCTTTATTATGGATATGCATTTGATGCGAAAGAGGGGAGTAATGGTTCCTTTAAAAAAAGATCCATTTTTTGGTATGTGGTTTGATTATATAACAAATAAAATCATTCATCAATCATGTATCCTATTCAATTCATGATATTCTAATCCATTAGAATTTTTTAAAAAAAAAAATGAAATTTTAACAAAATTTATTCGCAAATTTAATGATTTATATCTAGATAAACAAATTTCATGAATAGATTTTACATTGAACGTTGGTTAGCTGTTCAGACCATATTTGTATTTTTATATCCTTTTAATTCCATATCATCCTTTTATAGATTTTATGTTAAAAACAGAGAGAAAGAGAGGGTGAGTGAGAGAGGGAGATTAGTTAATCTCTTTTCTTGATATGAATCTGATGAGAAGAAATAGTGGTTCCCTTAAAAATAAAATCCTTATTTTTTTTTGTATTTTATTTCATTATAGTAGTAAATTTGTTGCTGAGTTTATAAATTTCTAATATATGGAAACGTTTTTAAAGTTTTGATTTCTGTGAATAAAATTTTTAGATTTGATTCAATTTTTGTTGTTGTGAGATAGTAACTCACTGAAGACTCAATTTCACGGATTGGTGGAAGTTAGAGATTAACATCCTTGGATACCGGTTGGATCAGTGGTCTAGTGGTTAATCGTTCGTATGTGACAATAATCTGTCTTGGGCGGGATCGTGGATGCGCACTGTCACTGAGGAGTTCCACAGTAGGATGGAACAGCCGTCCAATGCTTCTTGGTTCTTCATGATAATCTAGCTTCAGTCGGATTATGATCCCAGCCATTAAAATAATACAGTTGATTATTGAACAACTGTGAATACTACAGAATCATAAATACTGATTGATGTATGTTATGCACTAAGAATAAATATTAGTAAGCTACCTAATCACTACAAAGGTGTGGTGTGAGCTACTTATATTGATATAAGTAGTATATAACGATAGTCAAGAATAGAATGTATTTCAATAGAAGATTGAAAAGAAAAAAACGAAACCGGAAAGTAATTCGTATGAGAATGCAAGAACAATGAATTCTGAAACGATTGACTGATATTTGCAAAAAGGAACAGTCAAGTTGGAGACAATTGATAGATATTTTGCAAATTAAGTAATCACTGTTTGTATCTTAGATTTTAGTGAGATGTTCTGTAATTATATGTACAATTACAATCTATTGGGTTATTGGTTTTTTTTAATACTATAGGTAGTGAAGACAATCGAATACATTTGAATACAAAATTACAGAATGTCTTAGTAAAGTCAGAGAACTGTAAATACTTCATTTACAAAATATCAATCAATTGTCTCAGACCTTATTATTCTTTCGTTTCCACACCAATCATTTTTTGTTTGATCTTAAGTTTCTGCCTCCAGACATTTTACTTTCGATTTGTGATATATACTACTTATATCTGTCGACATCAGTTGTACACACCACAGTAGCATTTATTCAATCTACTCTTTTAATGTCTACTGTTATGATTTTATGGTATAAAGTTGATAGTACACTGTGATGCAGCTAGCGTGCTATCTAAATGTCCTGGAGTCTAGTTTAGGTGAGGAGGAAGATGTCTACAATAATTGATACCCATATCATCAGGTAATAAATATTATATACAATTTGTTTTACAGTTGTTGCTAAGACGAAATTCAGTCCTTAGATTAAACTGTCAATCGATTGTACGTTCTTCCTACGAGTATGAATGTAATGAGTTGATATTTAATTAAAATTTCAAACGAACTAATCATATTTGTCTCCATGTTTATGTGAAGAGATACAATCAGAATACAATAAATCATATTATTATTATTATTTTCCGATGTTCACTTTTTGGTGTGAGAGTTCTGTGGAGATTGTTCAGTTAATAGTTTATATTCTAGACAGGTATTGATCAGATAGCCATTGAAAAACCAGTAAGTATTGAAGAGCTATGTTGTCCTAATATCGAACACTGAGATGAAACATCGTGGATTGTTTGAAGTTAGAAATTAACACTGTTGGATGCTGGCTCAGTGGTTGAGTTGGTTAAGCACCTGGCATGAAACTGATAGGTCCTGGGTTCGAGTCTCGCGGGGTGCGGGGTCGTAGATGCGCACTGTTGAGGAGTCCCATACTAGGACGAAACGGTCGTCCAGTTCTTGCAGGTTTCCCATGGTGGTCTAGCTTCAAGTGACTCATGATTTCAACAAGTGAAACATCAGTCCGTTTAGTATATTTAGATTTCAATAATATGCACACACATCCTAAACTAATAATAATAAAAATAATTTTATGCTCATTGGTGATTAGTTTCTAGAGGTTAGTTCGAGTACGATAACGTGCTTGATAAAGTTCAATTATTTCGAGGTTTTAAAGACATATCACAAATGGAAATGAATGTTGGTCAGGCAATACTCTGGATGATATTGTTAGGGGATCTCATGTCACTAAGACACTGAATCGTTATTCAACGCCTCCTGGTTTTATAGGCATCTCAATTAAAGTTAATATGTAACAAATACCACCTGTAAGTTGAATGCTAAGTTTTCCAGAAATCATGTGAATCATTTGGATTCAGCAAATAAATGCTCTATTAAGTAGAATGGTAATGAATTTATGATCCCAGTAACATAGAGTTATAAAATGACTTCAAAACTCCCGAATGTTCTAGAACAATTGTCGTTGAGTGTATAATTTATTCACGGCCTTCGAGTGACACTAAAATGACCTTGTGAATATCCACCTACATACTAGGGCCAAATGTTGGTTATAAATCAGTGTGAAGAATAAAGATTATGATTTACTGTTATAGTTAAAAATTAGATTTAAAGTTTTTCAAAACAAACTGACATCAGCTATAATGCCAAAACTCTATTCAACCAAATGGATGAATAAATTTCGCGCCAAAATCTCAGACCTGTTATCGTAAATCTGATTGGTTCGTCCATAAATTATAGTCTCACCGAAAAGTCCTCAACAGAGAGTTGCTAAAGCGGATGAAAGATGCAGTTGACGCCCAACTTCGATATCAACAAACTGGATTCCGTAAGGATCGTTCGCGCACAGACCAAATCGCGGCACTACGGATCATCGTCGACACAATCAACTGAATGGAACTCGTCACTATACATCAACTTCATTGACTATGAGTAGGCGTTTGACAGTGTAGATAGGAGAAAATTATCGAGAATTCTCCGATACTACGCAGTGAGTACCTTGGAAGATTGTCAACATTATACGGAACTCATATGACGGACTACGGTGCAAAGTCGTGCATAGGGGACAGTTGAAAGATGTATTGTTAGTGGAGGCCAGAGTCAGACAAGGCTGTCTACTCTCCCCCTTCCTCTTTCTTCTGGTGGTTGACTGGATTGTGAAAACCTCGACATCTCATTGGTTCATCTGTAAATTATAGTCTTGCCCAATTATCATATATACCTAAGTAATCATTTTAATTGTCATTTGTAAATGAACAGAATAGCAATACAATATTTTTAATGGAAATCTATTTTATTATATATATGTATAGTATTAAAGAACTTTTAACCTAATTTTAATGAAGTGATTCTTAACAGAATTACCATAGTGATTACCATCTACATACATATGGGTATATACATACATAAAATGTTAAGTCAACTTTTCACATAATCTTGATGATTTATGCAGTGAAACACTCAGAAAAATGTTTTTCTTTACTAATTGAGCAAAGTGTTTTTTTGGAGAGTCTGTTCATGATAGTAAGAATATATCTGGCCCTCAAATGCCTTGGTATTGCCGAGAGTTGGGAGAGTCAGTTCTCCCTCTCGAAATGCTCTCACATGGCTGCGCGTATATAGCCTCTCTCAAAGAAGTCGTGCTCATTACCTGCTCGCATCACGGGTGTTGCTTACGAAATTAAGAGTATGAAAAGCGAACGTCCGGCGCTGTAACAGGATTGATGGATATGGAGGATCCAACTGGAGAGTTGGAAAACCCTGATTCGAAGCCAATGGTGCACATGGGCTCAACGACCCTGATGGAAAAATAGGGTATGAATCTACTGTTGGCCACCGGCTACCATGGGACTGCATCTCCTGACGTTGCTCCACTGTCTTGTGGATTAGACCTTTAAGTCAAAGGCTTCGAGTGTGGTTCATTCGTTTTATCACTATGTGGTTATGAATATTGTTCAGTTTTATTTGAGATCCTAGCTTCAAATCCCACAAGTGGGATCATGGATGTGCTCTATTGAGAAGTCCCTTACGGGAATGAAATAGTCCTCCAATACTTCCACGTTTTTAATTGTGGTCTGACATTGATCGATGCATGATCGCATTTGTTTTATATTAGTAAATGATATTACCAAGTAGTTAGTTAGTAGTTTATGAGACGGTAACGATAATAATATTTAATTGTCAGCATTATTTTCTCATGAGAATATAGGAAAACATCATATTTGTTGTCATTAAAGTAAATTAAACTATCTTACTTTTAATTCCATATTTCTATTGTATTTATTATCTCTGACGTATGATTTTATCGTGCAGATAACTAGCTTAATAGTCTCAGTACGAATATCGACAGTGAGATGGAAATACAATCAAATAGGATGAAATATTCATTCTGAAATTTCACTGGCAATTTGACTATCAATCCTATTGAATATATAAAGATTAATGAGACTTTTCTGATAAATGTCATGTAGATATAATCCATAGTGGTATTATTAACTAATGATCGAATTCAGACATTGTGTATTCACTTGTATGAAAGTGATCGTTTCGATTAGCCTAGAATGTTTTATTATAGAATACAAGTACTAGTAGTATGTAAGGCATGTGGTTTATGATTCAATTAGCAAAATTAGTTAGTGTTTCAACTCCACTATCTAATTATGAGGTGATGGAGAAAATTTTTATAGCTCAATATAGGAGTATTAGGAATGTTGTATTCTCCGAGGGAAAATAGTTTAATTGTCAACTTGTCATTGTACACCTAGGCAATATCATCAGCATTCGCTTTAGAAAGAAGTAAAGTGTTAGAATTTCTTTAAAATTGACTAATATATTGATATTATTGATTTTCAGAAAATCTCAATAAAAAAGTGGGTTATTAAGGCATTTAACATAGGAATTTCAGTAATTTTAATCATGACCAGTGAATTGTAGCCACATTAGAATGAGTTAAATATCATTGATAATATCGGGTATCCAAAAACCAATACTGCGAATTGAACAAGATTGGAAATACTCAGCAGTTCGTATCCACGATTCAACTTTCAGGAATCGAACCCAGGGCCTCCGGTCTTGCGCGCAAACGCTTAAACTCTAAACAACTGAGCCACTATTCAACGATGTTAATGTCTAACTTCAACCAATCCACGAAATTCCGCGAACATCATTCATTGCATTAAAGTAGATACCTGTCTCTACCTGAAACGGATGAGCTCCACTGATTACAGCTTCTCACTAGAAATCCGAAAATTTACACACGAAGCTGGTCACCGGTGAACATATAGTAATTATCAGTGTGGGGTTGTGGAGATT